ATATTCAAAGTAATTTCGATGTCGAGAAAGTTAACCCTCAGATTATCCTAGACCATTTTGTACAATCACTAATGTATGATATGAATATTTATGTACAGTATATATCTGTTATGAATTTACAAATGGGGTATTTAAACTTTTCATTCAAATGACTTATAATGCTAAAAAGTGCCAATCAGTCATATGAATTAAAAGTTTAAATACACTTTTTTGTACATTTTAAACAAATATATATCTGAATATATGCCTGCAAATTAATTTATTAACTAAGCTAGGCCGATTGAACATAAAGTACGTCCACTGGACAGTCGCGATGTCATACCACCCGCACAACAGTTATACGAGACTTTATTGACTTATGAACTGCGATTGGTTTGTATTAAAACATCCGATATTTAAACAAAAAAATATTTTTAAAAATTTAATTTCTAATTAGCCAGAGCACCAGCAATTACATATAGGTATGAGTGCATTTGTATATTTCTAAAAATTTCATACATATTGACCTTGTTTTTAATTTTTTAATCTCAAATATTTGACTTAATATAACTTATAGGCGTTAATTCAATGCTATATGGCCCTGATAATATTTCATTGATGTGGATGTTATTCAATGCAAACACCAAACAATATATGGGTGCAGGTCTGCACACGCCATCACCAGTAATTATTAACCATGCTAATAGATACTTTATAATTAAAAATTAATAATAAATTAATAATAAATTAATTTAATGTCTACCTATTAATCAAAAAGTATAAGTTGTTATGTCATATGAGAATAAATTATATAAAAACAGAGTTGTGGTATACCTTTCGATTTCTAGGCATACATTTGTTAAATACTAAAAATTTTAAAAATATAGATCAGACTTGAACAAGGCACTTACATAATTAAAGTGCAAATAAAACACACAATGAGTGGCCAATGGGAAAGATTATGTCAACTACCGGTGCACATTCAGTACAACGTACGTGACATTAATTCACTGGAGTTATACGATACGTATCGAAATGCCATAACCGAAAGCACTGGACATTTGTATGGGTCAGTTACATTCAATAAAAAATATAATATTTCAAGTCTTAGAAAATATAACTTGCACAATGCTCATGCATACGGTTAATGGATATAATTATGTCACTATGCATAAATTTACCCCCAATGACTAAATTCAGGTGTTATTCTCATAGTACTTATGCAAAATTTTGACCAAAAATTTATTATTCCTCAAATAAGTAAATACGTTACATAGTAGCTTGTAATAGCCAATACATTATAGCGCTTACTTCACTTAACCATGTTTATATAATTATGTAGTTTGACTACTGTGGTAGAGTACTACTGTTTAATATGCCCTTTAAAAAGTACTGACTAACTATGGGGTGTCACTCGCTGTACAACTCTTATTAAATTAGAACCTGCATGATTATATAGTTTAACCATGCTAAATTAAGAATATCGCGGTCCGGTAATCTATGTGAAGGTGGTATGGTCATAATCCAGTGGTCAAGTTTCCGATAATCGCAAAATTTTCAAAGTTTTTATATGCATTATTCACTTTTTTACATTACTCATACTATAAAAGTGAGTCTTAAAATAATGTATGAATTCACATCAAATGTCTATTGAGTTTGTATAGAGCGTTATAGGAATATCGGAAACTTGACCACTGGATTATGACCATACCACCTTCACATAGATTACCGGACCGCGATATTCTTAATTTAACGTGGTTAAACTATATAATCATGCAGGTTCTAATTTAATAAGAGTTGTACAGCGAGTAACACCCCATTGTAAGTTTAAAGTCTACTAAACTTGTTTAACTTAAAGTTTAAAGACTAGTATCCTTGCTAAAACATGTTCACAATATTAAAACATGAATTTCCTTGATATAGGGAGTCTCTCCAACCGGACACACCAACCCCTGTATTCATACGAGCAATGAGGTCGTACCCATTGGGCACACCTAATAATGTTAGTAAAGGTTCCTATTTTACTGGTTGTATCAAATTGGCCGACAATTATACCCGAAGAAAGGCTGAAGATTTTGAGTTCAAGTATGTGATCGATAGCCAACCCATAGAAACGTCTAAGAGGAATGACACAAACGAGTCAAAGATATCACCGGAAGATCAGTTCAATAGTGCCGTCAATGATCTGAAGATCAGTTGGGTTTCGATGTAACGAAATATTCTGTGAATTCTCTGTTTATTCTGTGATTTGAATTATGTTTTAATATTTTTTGCAGATTAAAAGGAAAGGCGTCCGAAGACCTGTTCAATGAATTACTCGAGAGTAATGAGTCAGATGTCAATCAAATGAGGCTATTATTAGCGCGAATGCGGGCACTGGACTCGGACTCCCGGCGCTCGCAGCACTTGTATCGACAGATTTGTTTGGCAAACAAAGTGCTATATTTGGGTAAAATTCATGATTTGATGGCATCTTTTATGATCCTAAAGGTAGAGGAGAAATCGGATGACATCCGACAGGCGCTCAAAGAGTCCGTAAAAATCAATTCATTTTAAATTCAATTAAAAAACTAATTTTACTTTTATTTCCGATACAAACAAAAGTTTGCAAACAAAGACGTCTACCGTTTTGGAGGTACTGGTGCTGAAAGGGGTGGCCATCTGTGATCTCATCGATGAGCATAAAAACAACACTCCCGTGACTAGTGATAAGGACATACCTGTGCCCAGTGTTGATGATACCGGTGCTGCCGGTACTACGCCTACCATTTCGGATGCGGATCACGTGTATCGAGATATTTGCAAACTAGTGGACGACCCGTACCTCTATGAGGTCCACAAGTTTACGGAAAGGCATGCCTTATTGCATGGGCATTACGGCCGGGCAGTCAAACTATACTCAAAACAATTTGATTCGCAAATTTCGCGAGTATTTGATTCGTCAAACAATACTCAAAACACTGGGTGTGATAAGCAACAAGTGTATCGTAAGATGATCGAGGTACTTTTGTATATGTTTTATGCTAATTGGTATTATGGACTTATTTTGTGCGTGTTTTGACTTATCCAGGTATTTAAAAGCTTAAAGTGGACTCACCTTGAACATCAATTCAATCGCAATTATTTCGCCATGTTTCCCAACGATTATCGACTATTTTGACCTAGTATCATTCAATCACTTTGCATATAATTGTTTCAACGTAATTATTTTTCAACAAATAAGTTATTATAAATTCTATATACTCGTGCAACATTCAATGATCATGATAGTTAATCATTACTTTTTAATTATTAATCATGAAACAAAAATGTAAACCTTTATACAAAATAATATTTTATTTTATTTTTAAAGTATTGTAATTTTGTAAAAAGCAATAAAGTAAAACTAAACTAAAATTTAAATTAAACTAAAACATTACCAATTAACTAGCAAATGTCCAAGGTGATCTTATAAGCCACACTTTTACTTCGTAAATGCGAGTAAAAAAGTTTACATTTTAATTGAAAGTTTATTATGATTATTATTTCATAAAAATACGTTAATATCTATTAATACAAACACAATACATTATTATTAGAAAATCACCGTAAAATAGATTGCATTTCAATATAAGTAATACCTATAAATAATTTTTACAAATATAAAAAGTAAAACTTATTTTATTTTACAAATCATTTCATATTAATTCAATATTAATAAACGATTTTATCACGAAGTTTATCACTTAATTAATTACCAAATATAATTAGTACTTATGATATTATTTTATTATAATATTTTATAATTTTTTGTTATGAATTGGTTTTAAAATTATCATGATTTTTAGTGCACTGTTGTCATGCACTTATGAAAACATTTTTAAATATTTTGTTGATAAAAATTATAATATATACCTATACACCATGTCCTTGGTCAAATTATTGACACGTTTGATAACAGTAATCAACAAAATATTTCCAATGTGATGTAATCAATTATGTAATATTCAATTAAACAAAGTTATGTTTTCATTAGAAAATTTAATTTCAAATTGTAATACAGTATTCCCGGTAAATGTAAGTTTTGTAGTTAACAATAACAGTTATTATTAAGCTTAATATAAATACAGTGTATTAAATTGCAAAAATGATAACACTTTGCTATACTAATAAAGTACTAATATACACGATAACATTTATTTCAAAAAAATTTGCCTGATTTAAGGCAAACTATATAAGGTTTGCCTGTACAATTTTTTATATCACATAAATTCATTAGTCATATATTTCCAACTTAGGTAGCAATGCATGCCTTATATAAACGTTTTGTTTTCAAAGTTACTAACCATTAGTTTCTATAAGTTTAGGCATTGAATTTGAAAAGAAATTAATGATTGTTAATAATATTATCAAAATATTATTTGAAGCAAGTTTTTACTATTAACCAGAAACTGGTTAAATAACCTTGACCAATCAGGTAATAATTTTTTAAAACTTTATTTTGTACTGCATATAAAGTTTGTTTATTATATTTAGTTGTGTATTTATAAAATAATTTATCAAGAACTTTTATCAACGAAATTTTTCAATTTATGTTATAATTATTTAAAAATATATGTAATTCGTTTAGTTTAAATTAATTTTACTAATATAGATTATACTAGCAACTAATGAGTACCATATACTGTACAGTATTTATTAATAAGTATTTTTTCAGAAATAATACTTACAATGACTTCAATGAATGACTCAATCCTTGAAATCCATGAAAATATCATTAAATCCCCGGAAGATAAACGTGAATACAAAGGACTGGTACTCAGGAATGGCCTAAAAGTCCTATTAATCAGTGATGTGGAGGCAGACAAATCCGCGGCCTCCCTGTCCCTCAATGTGGGCTTGATGTCGGACCCCCGGGAGGTGCAAGGGTTGGCCCACTTATTAGAGTGCATGCTATTCCTAGGCTCTCGTAAATACCCTGGTGATAATGATTACCACAAATACATCTCAAGTAATGGCGGTTCGTGTACTACCCGGACAACCTACACATACACGGCATACTTGTTTGATATAGCCACTGACTATCTACCCGGTGCTCTGGACAGGTATGTAACCTAACTTAAAGTAAATTTTGAGTTTTAATTGTTTTACAATATTTCAAATGTATGGTCAGATTCGCGCAGTTCTTCATTGAGCCGCTGTTCACAGAGAGTGCGACGGAAAGGGAGATAAACGCCATTAACTCGGAGTACGAGTCCTGCATAACTATCGGTCATTTTAGAGAAGATGCAGTGGACAGGTGTTTATCTGACCCGGATCATGATTACAGCAAATTTCAAATCGGTTTTATAGCTAAATATGTAAAAGTAATTTATTTTTTAAATATTATTTTTGTCATTCAATTCAGGAAATAATGAGTCGTTGAAAGAGATTCCTTACGCCAAAGGCATTGATGTCCGCCAGGAGTTGCTGTCGTTTCACAAGCGCTGGTATTCAGCAAATATCATGTCTTTAGTGGTTTTGGGCAAAGGTTTGCCTCATAACTGTTGACCACTTAATACATACTAATAGTTATTATTGTTATGAATACACAGAAAGTATACAAGAATTGCAAGAATTAGTGATTCCTATGTTCTCCGGAATCCGGAATAACAGTGCAATCGCTCCCAAATGGACTACTAATCCATTCTCAGATCCATACCTACGAAAGCAGTGCTTTATTGTACCGATTGATGACATCCAGAGTATGAAAATAATGTTTCCTATCCCTGATATGTCCGCACACTACAGGTATAGTTGAAATTGTAATTATTTTTAAAAATTTATTACTAATTAATATATTATATTTATAGATCTAAACCGAAATGGTATCTAGATAACTTGATTGGTCACGAGGGGCCGGGTAGTTTACTATCGGAGCTGAGATCCCGCAACTGGTGCACACAATTAAATACAGGCTGTTGTTGCGGCCGAAGCCCTGGGTTTGAATTCTTTTGCATTACTGTGAACCTAACTGAACAGGGTATGGACCACACGGACGATATCATTGCACTGGTCTTTCAATACATTAATTTACTCAAAGTATGTATGAGTTTATTGTAGTCAAGAATATACAGAATATTCTGATGTATTCATGAATTGATGGCATATTTTTCAGAGAGAGGGTCCCAACGAGTCGTTTCATAACGAGTTGAGACAAACCCATGAAATTGATTTCAGATTCTATGAGATGTGGAGTAATATGTATTTTACAGTACGATTGGCAACAAGTCTTCACGTAATGAATTCATTTCAGCTATTATTTTAAGATTATTCATACAGTACTTGTATTATTTTATTTTCATGTTAAAGGATTATCCGATTGACGAGTGTATGAGTGCTAAGTATACGATGGATGAGTTCAGACCCGATTTGATCACTGATTTACTCAATCACTTGACTCCGGATCGCATGCGAGTGACAGTTGTGTC